AGGGCTGCTGAGGAGGTGGCCTCCTCAAGGACCAGCCCAGGTTTCGGTTAAAGTGAGCGCAATGAAAGCCGAGTGGCGGCTGTTCGCTCTTGGTGCTTCCCCTGATTAAGATACCCCGAGGCAGTGCAGCACCAAAGAGCTCTTTAAGTGTACTGGTCATCGAAGGCCACCACTGGAAAGGCATTTGCTAACCTTCTAAAAGGGGCATCCCCTGGTCCAGACCACAAGGTCTGGGTTATTCTTTGTATAGACCACCCATTCCCCTCCTGCCCCGAGTCTCCACATTGCTAAAGCCTCAATACCCGTGCTCTCAGAACACTCCAGCCTTGGTTGTGGCCCTCCTGGGCCCCTCGTGGTCACCCACAACCAAACCCTCAGATTCGGTTTTGTTTCTCTTTCTTAAAGCTTAAGCAACACAACTGAGCAGTCCTACTTTCTGACACTCCCCCTTCCGTAATTCCTTAGATGTGTGACCCTCCCGCCTCTTTTACAGCTGTCTGTCGATTCCCGTGTCAGAACGGAGGTGTCTGCCAGCGCCCAAATGCTTGTTCCTGTCCAGACGGCTGGATGGGGCGCCTCTGTGAAGAGCGTGAGTCTGTCCTCTAGTCTTACTATGAGTCCCAATAGTTTGCCTGGAAGCTGCCACCTCCGAGTTGCCAGGGACTGGCTTCACTGGTGGCAGGAATTCATTTGCTTCTCCGCTAGCAGGCCAGACCAAGCAGCTTGGGCTGACCTGTGCATGCAGGTCAGTTACCGGAGATACTAGAATAGGTCCGTCAGAGCCGTCTCCACGTGCCCCCTGCACAGATTTCTCAGGGTCTTCTCGGAAAGGAGCTTGTAATAAAGGCTTTCCCAGCCTCGGCCTTCCCTCATCTCGAGTCCATTTACGTACTCTGCCACTCGTTGCTGCAGCTGTAAATTCATGGCGTTGCCTAACACTGTACTTTGCAGCTCACCATGCACTCTCTCTCATTGTTCCCAATGAAGGGAGTAAGGAGAGTGGGCACTCCTGTATCTACTCAAATTAATATACATATTAATGTATTATTAATAATGTATGTGAGTATATTAATATATATTAATGTAGATTCATTTTTTTACTATTATATAAATTTGTGTGTTAATGTTAATTAATAAATTACATATTACTGTAAATTCATATAGAATTTTGGTTCTCATAGTAATAATAGATTTCAAGTTGAACTTCCAGGAGACTGTGAATAAGTGGTTTTAAATGTTTTTTTAAATGTCTAACCCACACTTTTAAAAAGTACACTGAGAATAAAATGATTCCATGTTTCTTTGGGAGTGGCATGGGGAATAATGATCTCACGTTTCTTTGGGCGTGGCGTACGTGAATCACACTGAGCCACTAATGTGCTGCTGGCCATTGGTCCACAGCAGTTTTTTCTAAGGTCAGACATTTTATGAGATTCTAAAACAATTTTAGGTTGTAGCTACTTTAACTAATCTAGAAAGGAAAATATAACATGGCAATAAATGCAGGCCACTAACAACTCACTGAAGCAAGTGTTGTCATGGTGATGAAGAAAGAAGAGAAATCACGTTTTTCCTTCCTCTTTTCCCCAATCATTCCTTCCCACTTAGGGCTGCCACACGTGACCTGCTGTAATGGCAAGGGTCCAAAGACTCAGGAACATTTACCCTGGGGTACGCTAAGAACTGGCCATGCTTAGCTCACTGAGCATGTGCCTGCCCGCCCGGATCAGACCAGGGCTTCCCAAGCTTTAACGTACACACAGATATCATCTGGGAGATGTTGTTAGATGCAGACTCTGATCATGACCTGAGACTTTGCATTTCTAGCCAACTCCTAGGTAATGCCAATGCTTTTGGTCTGAGAACCATGCTTTGAGTAGCAAACCAAGAGACAATCTCACTCCTTTTAAACAGACTTATGCCTCTCTAAACCGCTCAGTGATTTCTAGTAGGAGGAATGCGTACCATGCGTACCATGGAGAGTGTAGGGGAGGCCGGGTTCAGTCACCGCCAGGCCTCGGCTCCAAGGAAATAAAGAGCGAGTTTTGCCCTCACTGCCGAGGTGTTGCCCACAGCCTGCAGGGCAGCCCATCTGACTCCCACTCTCACATTTAAGTCACAGCAAGAAGAGAGCCCCATGGCAGCCAAACCCTCGTAGAGCATTTTATGTAATCTGTGATGGAAACTTGAAACTGTAATCAGTGGAGAACATTCTGCTTACTTTGTGAAGGGAAAGCAAAGCACTTAGCAGATATTGATTACAGCGTGTCCTCTCCAAAAGAGTGAACTTGGCATTTAGTCGTGGCAGCAGGCTAAGGGGCGGAGTTAGTTTCCTCGTTGTGTTTTCCCAGGGACACTGACTAATGAACAGAACACATTCGGGAGGATTCTCATACAAGTGTATGCTCCTCCTGGAGAAGATTTTTTGAACATGTGAACATGTATGAGTGTGTGTGTTTTCATCAGATCTCTTTTCATCTCTTTGCAGCCATATGCATTCTGCCCTGTCTGAACGGTGGTCGCTGTGTGGCCCCTTACCAGTGCAGCTGCACGCCTGGCTGGACAGGGTCCCGCTGTCACACAGGTAGGCCTCCTCTCGTGCTTCGTTGTCTTGGTGACTGGGCTCCATGGAGGCGCCTTTCAGGGTCGTGTGGGAGAGACGGGCATCCGAGTGGACTGAGCTGTCAGCCGCCTTCGTGTCGCCTGCTCTGTTCTGCAGAAAGTAGAGAAAAACATTGTGCAAAGGTTTAGAAGAATTTTTTTTTTGAGTGCCAAGTTCAAGATGCTGGATTATGTCTTGTGAGCAACCGAAGCCACTGAAGGGTTTTAAGCAGGAAAAACATGTCATCAGATTTTCTTTTAGAAAAATGGTTTTGACAGCAGTATGGGAAAATGGCAGAAAGCAAGACTTACAATAGGGAGACCAGTGAGGAGGTTATCAAAGCAGAATTGGCAACAGGTAATAGAGTCTGGGGACATGATAATCCAAAAGGCAGGTTTGGAAGAAGGTAGAGAGGTGAATCAGTGCTGCTTGGTTATGGGTTGTATTGTGAGAGTGAAGGTCTCAGAAGAGCGGACACTGGTGTTTCCGGTTCGGGCCCCTAAAGGGGGTGATGGTGCCGTTTACTGAGGCTGAGGCCCCAAGAGGAGCAGGGTGGAGGTCTGGACACGGAGTGAAGTATCGCCATGCTTTGAGGGGGCTTCGACTGTACAAGGGGGAGGTCCGACAGGCTGCTGGATGATGCTTGAGGTTCCCAGGAGCTACATCTAGATTGAAGATAGAAGATGTAGGTCATCATGGGAAGACATTCGTGGGGAAAATAAGGCTGCAGAAGACACATGGCGTAAGAAGGTGGCTCAGAATGGAACACTGAGGGCGCCCAGGGTGTAGGGACGGAGGAAGATGGTAAACTTTTAGACAGGGAAGTGAAATTAATGACCAATTTGTCGGTACAGTCCGGCACCATGAAATCATCATGCTTCTGAAAGGGAGCCATATTTTTTTAAATATTAGCAAGCAGAATTTATGGAGAGTTGGTTTTAGATTATTGGGTTTTATTTTTGCTATTTTTAAGCCTGCTTTGTTCCATAGTTTTCTTTTTATTGTATTACAAATGCATGCATTCTGTTGGCCTGTTCTTACTCTTAACCCACCAAGAGAGCTCCCCAGGGCAAAGACTAATGTTTCCTTTCTTGTCCACTGTCCTTTAACCCGGTGCTTACCCAGTGCCTGGTCCTGGCTGGCATGGTCCGCATGCTGCATGAGTGAATGAGAAAAGAAGTAACATGTACTCATATCTCCCCAAAGACGAGCTGTTCATCTGGGGAAGCTTGCCCTTCTTTCCAAACTACAATGAGGCTGAAATAAAGACCGAAATGTTTCTCCTTTTCAGCCCTCTCTCAACAGGCATTTTATTTTCTTCCCATAGGGGGTTCTCCTTACTCTTTGAGACGTTAAACTTGCTGGTGTTAGGTCTTTATCAGTTTTTAGCGTCCTTAGGTTCTTTAAGAAATAGATTTGTGCTAATGAAGAGTTCAGTGAGGAGACTCTGGGTTTGTGAAAAAGATGATTTTCTAGTAAATCTTTGGGTGTTCACTCAGGTCACATCTGTGGCTAATTTTTAACTCTATTCCAGGTTCCATAATTCCAATTAAAGCCAGTAAAAATCACCAACTGTGTGTCCTAACAAACACAACGGATTTTGAATCATATGTCATTTTAGAAAACCCATGCACCTGATTTATTGTCATAGGAGGTGACATCTGATATAGTGACTCAACTCACTGGGGTTCAGTGCTTGGCTCCCTTGAGAGATTTGCAGTCCAGCTGAGATGTACAGTCACTGTGCAAAATAGTATGTCAGATTAGTCACATAAATAAAAGTATTAAGAGAGAAATCACTGGACTCACATTGAAATCTATCAACAAAAATTTCAATACACAGTTTTAGAACTTAACCTGGGACTTAGTATGAAAATTGACCAGCGTGCAAGGAAAAAGGGAGGTGGGACCAACTAATGACGTGAGGTGAGGCAAAGGGGCCGAAGTGCGCCATGCACACAGACTATGAGGGGTGCCGGTGGCTGGGGCAGAAAACAGAGTCAGCTATTATTTACTTGCTTTTGTGGGCATCGTCAGAATTGCTAAGTACTAATCACATAAATGCATGAACTTTTTCTCCCAGCTGTTTGCCAGTCTCCCTGCTTAAATGGCGGAAGATGCGTAAGACCAAACCGATGCCATTGTCCCTTGCCTTGGACTGGACATGACTGTTCCAGGTAAGATGGCCACACACTAATGTCTCTCTACAACGTAAAGAGATCGAAATTCAAGTCACGTTGTTCAAGACCCCGAAGGCACCTTTAGTGCGTGTGAGCATTTGGTACCCAAAAATACCCATGCTGAGGTACACTCTCTAAATCTGAACTGCAGGCAAGGCAACAAAATACTAGTTAAGGACTGACACATAAAACTGGTATCTCAAAAAATAAATAATCTTGTGCTCACTTTGGCAGCACATATACGTGAAACTGGAATAATACAGAGTAGATTAGCGTACCGCACACAAGGATGACATAAATTCGTGAAGCATTCCATGTTTTTCCACAAAAAGGATTAAACAAATAAATTAACTGCCTTCTTGAATAGCAGATTGTATTCTTTATATTCAAGGATGTAAAATAGATAATAAACCCCATACATTTTACTGACATTCATTTGCATTGCTAGTTACAATAAAAATGGCATTGAAATTGGTAAGAATTATTTATTTCCAAAGTCAGATATTTTGTTTTATATTTGTAATGTGTACAAATATTCAGTACTTGATTGTCTGCAAGAAAATTTATGTAAATATGTTTTCTGTCAGTTGGTTTTGAATTTCTAACTAGATAAATACAGTTGAGAAAAGATCATCACAAAAATAAGTCCAAGGGTCGCTCAGTTGGTTGGGCATGGTCCCACAAAGCAAAAGGTTGTGGGTTCAATTCCCGGTCAACACATTTGCTTAGGTTGCAGGCCTGGTTCCTAGTTGGGGCATGTGCAAGAGGCAACCAATCAATGTTTCTCTCACACATTGATGTTTCTCTCCCTCTCTTTCTCCCTCCTTCCCCTCTCTCTAAAAATAAACAAAATTGTTTTTTAAAAAGTCAAAGGAAAAATAGTTCATAAATAATTTAAATTTTGTTAAGATTTTATTTATTTACTTTTTTCGGGAGAGGGTAAGGAAGGAAGAAAGGGAGGGAGAAAAACATCAATGTGCAAGAGATACATCAACTGGTTGCCTCTCGCAGGCCCCCAACTGGGGAACCTAGGCCACAACCCAGGCATGTGCCCCGACTGGGAATTGAACCTGCAACTTTTTGCTTTGGAGGATGGCGCTCAATCCACTGAGCCACACTAGTCAGGGCTAAGGTTTTGGGGTTTTTTTTTAATGATTGATTGACATGCATTATATTAGTTTCAAGTGTATAACATAACAATTTGATCTGTATATTGCTGAGAAATGATCACTGCAATAAGTCTAGGTAACATCTATCACCATACATAGTTAATTTTTTCCTTGTGATGAGAACTTTTGAGATTTACTCTCTTAACGACTTTCAAATATGCAGTATAATATTATTAACTAATGTCATCATGGTGGACATTCTATCCCTGTGACTTGTTTATTTTACAACAGGATATTTGTACCTTTTGCCTCCTTGGTTCATCTCACCATCCCCCAGCCCTCCACGTTCGCCTCTTGCAACCACCAGTCTGTTCTCTGTATCGATGAGTTTGGTTTGGGTTGTGCTTTTTTTGGATTCCACACTTAAGTGAAATCATACGGTATTTGTTGTTCTGTCTGACTTATGCCAGTTAGCATAATACCCTCAGCATCCATCCTTGTTGTTGAAAATGGCAATATTTTCTTCCATTTTTATGGCTGAATAATATTGCAGAAGAGGAACTGCTGGATCATATGGTAGTTCTGTTTTTATTTTTTTGAGGACCCTCCATACTGTTTTCCATAGCAGCTGCACCAATTTACGTTCCCACCAATGTTACGGGAGAAGCTCCCAGAAACTTGGTTCTTCTGGCCAACACAGTAAAGAATCCCAGGCCAGCGAGCCTACTAATGTGCAAGCAAGGTTTATTAATGCTGAGTTCTAATAGGACATCAAAGCAAGGGTGGTTAGAGCAGGGGTGGCAAAAGTAGGGTGGCCAGAGGCTGAGTGGCCAGCACCCGGATGGCCAGGGGCCAGGTGGCTAGAAGCCAGGTGGCCAAAAGGGGTAGCCAAGGGCTTCCCCACAGCCAGAGGCCTGCTGGCCAAGGGTCCCCCATGTGGCAAGAGAGCCACGAGGCCAAGAGAGGAGAGTCCTTTGTTCTGAGGACTTATATAATTGGTGGGGTGGGGGTGAAGAAGTCACATTTTGATTGGCGGGTAAAAGTAGTGCTAGCTTTCCAGGGGAGACGTGACCACCTAAACGTAGGTATGGGTGGGAGTCTGTTAGCTGAAATCTTTATCTTGCTCCAGACTCTATTTGCTTATTTTGTAGATGTGACAGGAAGCAGTTAACTAAAATTGTCTTATGGGTTTTTTTTTCCTTTAGGCACTGTAGTCCCCTACCCCTTCTCTCTTCCAGGCCTTGGGATGAATACAAAGTCTCAAGGTTTTCCTTTTACCAGCTAGTGGAGATGATACACACAGACTTTCAAGGGTGCCCCCCACCCTCCTACAGTATCACAATTTCACTTGTTCCAGCTGCCTGCCGGCCTTGTCACACCACACTCAGGATTACTGGGTCAACATGTGAGCTTCTGCTTTTAGCTTCCTGTATTAAGTTCTTTGCTAGATTGTCATGGTGAGGGCCCTGCCTTTATTTCCCCTCCGGCCACTCATTCCACCGTAATACCAACAGTGCACAAGGGTTCCCTTTTCTTTACATCCTGGCCAACACTTGTGATTTCTTGTCTTTTTGATAATAGCCATTCTAACGTGGGTGAGACGATGTCTCATTGTGGTTTTGATGTGCATTTCCCTGATGATGAGTAATTTGAGCTTTTCATCTGTATGTCCTCTTTGGAAAAAAGTGTCTACTTAGGTCCTCTGCCCATTTTTTAACCAGATTGTTCAGTTTTGGTTGTTGAGTTATGTGAGTTCTTTATATGTTTTAGATATTAACTCCTTGCCGGATAAATGATTTGCAAACATTTTCTCCCATTCAGTAGGTCGCCTTTTTATTGTATTGATGGTTTCCTTTGCTGTGCAGAAGTACTTCAGTTTGATGTAGTCCCACAAGTTGATTTTTGCTTCTGTTGCCTTAGCTTTTGGTGTTGAATCCAAAAAATTGCCAAGATCAGTGTCAAGGAGCTTACTGCCTATGTTTCCCTGTTGTATATTCTTGGCTCCTTTATTGAAAATTAATTGACTGTGTATGCATGGGTTTATGTCTGGGCTGTCCATTCTGTTTCATTGATGTATGTATCTGCTTTTGCGCCAATCTATACTGTTTTGATTACTATAGCTTTGTTATGTAGTTTGAAATCAAGGAGTATGATGCCTCCAGCTTTGATCTTTCTTCTTTCTCAGGATTTAAACTTTTCTAAACCTCAGGAAATTTCAGATATATTGTACCATGGATAAAATATTTTCACTATTATAATATTGTCCTCACAAATACTGCAGTGTTGGCGTGTCACCAGCTTTAAGACTCACATCACTTGGAGCTGTGTAATGTACATCTGCTTCCATCTTACAACACTCACTGAAAACAAGGTCTACTTCCACATTCATTTTTAAAAATGGGAAATTCACTTAACTGAAAACAACTCTTATTTTTCATTTCCTTTTATTTTGATTGGAATGTCAAAGTCAACTTCCAAAGGCAAAACTCTATTTAAATGCAAGCTTAATTAACAACAACAGAAAAATCTGCCGTGTGCCAATGAATTTCCTCATATCATCTCAGCATATGCCATCCCTGCAGAGAGAAAAAAATAAACTGAACCCCAAAGAGCACATTTGGATCATACAAGTGTACTTAGAAGCTTTCAAGATAAAGATGATAGTTTTACCTGAGAGTAGAGTTGAAAACAATTTTTAAAAACTGGAATGAATTTCTGGGTAAAATGAGAGAAAAGAAGAAAGAGAAAAAAAAGGAAAGATAAAAGAAATAAGAATGACAGTGACTCAAGGGAACAGGAAGTATTTATAACATCCTTATAATTTTAGACTTTCTATTTCAATTCCTCCAAACAGACAAGAAAAGGAAACCCAGAGTGTGTGTGGTTTCCTAACATCAAAACACTCCCAAAGGAGACTTCCTTGACAAGGGGAATGGTGATTATCAACTTATGTGAAAATACTGTCTAACAAAGAGAACAAAATTACATTTCATGCAAAAGTTTGATAAAGAAATCCAAAAAATGTGGCAAATGAAGCCGAGAAGTGTTATCCCACGTTCAAGGAAAGGCCAACTTCAACCCAGAGGCCTGGGCCACTCTGCACCCCACCCCCACTTACACTGCGACCCAATTTTCTAAAAGGTCTGCATTAGTTAGGACTCGCTAATCGCAACTCTATGTAGCCTGACCACAGAAAGGAATGTGTTGCCACCATAGAGGGACCTTGCATGGAGCCCAAATACGTGGGGTGGCTGAGCACCGGGAGGGTCAGACCGAGCCCTTGAAAGCCACCTGCAGCCTCTCCACCTCTTGTCCCACCTTCTCTCTCCAGCGTCTGCTCCATGCTCTCTCTTGCTGCAGAGTGCTTTTCTCTGCCGTTCAGTTCACATGGAACGACAGAGCTCCTTGGAGCTCCCACATTTTACATGTCATACTGCAGTGTCCACAGCAATAGTGTGCTCTGACCCAGTTTAAAAACTCAGGAGAAGAACCTACTAGTCAGACGGATTTGGGGGCCCGCCATGGGTCAGTCAACCATAGCCGTAGGTTGGGTTACATGGTACTAACGTGAAGAGGCATTTTATCAAAACTTTTACTTTACCTTTGGGTAAAGGGGAGAGGCGGCTGGCAATTCCCAGAAGAAAGAGAGATGGAATATAATTCCCTAAAATGAGAGGGGGAGAAAGCTTTTTCTGAGAAATCAAAACAACAGATGTTTACAAATAATTTTTTATTTTCTTCTGTCCCATGAGATTGAGTACTTAAAAGACTGTGTCCCTTGTATTTAGCAGAGGCACAAAAATGAACACTCAGTAAATGCTTCTTGTCAGATGGAGTGATTTTCTGCCCACCTGTGACAGCCCATGAAGAAATGCCTCGTAGCATTCATCAAACCCCTCAACCAGTAACTTTCTCTCCTGATGAGTAGGACTGACCTGGTGGTGTTCCCAGGTAGTTCAGTCCTTACGAAGAGACTGTGTTTCCCCTGATCCTGATTTGCCTCTTCAGAAAAGTGACCCTAAGCAAACACCATTAAATAAAAACTATAGACTGGTAATGCTGTAAGAGACCTTTGGGTCCGTGTTGCCCAAACCCCTCATTTTACAGATGAGCGCTTTATCAGACAAGGAACTAGTGACAGAGCCGGGACTAACCCCCAGGTCTGCTGATTCTCAGATCTTTTCGTAAGTTAGCATGTGTTCTTCATGCCCCT